TTTTCGCGTCAGTGTAAGATGAAAATCAGATAGTCGTGTGCAACAGCCATATATTTAGTACGAAATGGGAATAGTGAAGAATTCGGGGACAAGGGCTAGAATTTTGGTAGTCCTTGGGATAAAGGGCGCAAAGACGCATCGGTCGCGGGCAGTCTCGAGAGCGGTCGACGCGGCCGAATCGATGGAAAGAAATTTATTCGTCGCGAGCGCCGGCGGCGGGTTTAAAATACGGCGTCGACGTCGAGACGCCGCTGCCGCCGCCGCCGCCGTCGCGTCCTCGGGGTAACGCCACATCGTGTCGCGCTACCTGGTAGCGCCGTGGAATTACATCGGATTCTTTCTCGTCGCTGCCGGTATGCCGGAATCGGACTGGAATTCAGGGAGACTCGACGCCGAGCATTTTTTGGCGGCCACGCCGGGCCGAGCCGGGCTGAGCCCGGTGTAAACGCGCCGCCACCCGGTTATTACATACGTTGAGCGTCCGAACGGACAGGGCGACTCAACTCGACCGTGGACCTTTGCTTCTTTCCGTCCGCGGCTCTGCCTCGGACAAATTGAATTTAATTCTGACGCTAATACGGCCGCCGAAAAACGCGCGCGCCGGGGACGCGCGAAAATCACGCCGCCGATTTATGTCCGCGCCCTTTTTCCTTACTCGACGATTATGAAATCTTCGTCGGCCCCTTTGAGCGTGATATTACGGATACTGCAGTGCGCTAATATAGCAGTTCATTTTAATGAATAAAAGCACGTCGCGTGTAGAAGCTTAATTTACGTTTTGTTATCAAATTATTGAGCTTATTAAATTGTACGGCGCGCAGGATAATCGGAAACTTGCTGAAAAATATTGAAGACAGCAAATTTTTCCTTGGCCAGATTTACAGCGGCGAATCGTGGAGTGATAGAACTTTAGAAAAATCAAAAATGCATATTACAAAGAATTCTGTACATTTTGTTAATATTTTAATACTGAAAGCACGTATTACCTTTTTATGGACGGTTTTTGCGAGCGTGGATTCGAGCGCTATGCTCATCGCACTTCTCGTACGTTGCACCGCGATCATCGCAATTTTCACTGTTATTAACTTGGGTGAATGAAAGTATACGATGTGTATGTATGTGCGAATGTCGCTTTTTGTTATTTCCTTGTCACTCGCGCGGTTTATGCTGGGGAGAGCCAATTTTTATTGCGGGAATAATATTGAATTTCGACAGTCCATAGCGAGAACGACGCGAATACGAATTTCTTGCGTACCGTCGGAATGGTGGTTTTGTTCAAGATGAGAGAATTATCGGATAGAATATGTATAAAATACAATAGAATAGCCAATATGGCGAATCGAATTAGAACAGAATTGCAAAAATAGTATTATTTCGCATGTATGTTATTCGCTTATTGATTGCATAACTCTTGAACTAGCGTTATAAGAATATTCGAAAAATGCTATTGAATTAAATTTTGCATTTTTTGATAATTTTTATGTTTAAAAAATATAAAATAAAACGAAATTGAACAATAGCAGTATAGCCGTATGTAGGTTTACTATTTACTCACTTATTTTATAGCTTTTTTAAGAAATAGATAAGAAATGCGAATGATAGAAAGATAATTATTAAAATTATTAAAGTTACTTCGTTTTTCAGCTCTGAAATACAGAAGGCCATGTTAGAGCGCAAGTAAAACAATTTAACATGACTAGCGCGAATTAAAAATTCACTCGCGTGCAGCCGTCGTGTCACAACATGAACTTTATCATAGTTATAAGCCGTCACTGTCAGTCAATGTGTTAACAAGTAGGTATATATTCTTTCCTGACAAAAGGTTTCGTAAGTCAATAACATAAAAGGATATAACATTCTTCGTATTTGCAGGACATCTTAATGAAATAGGCATCTTAATAAAATATATAAATAGATAAAAATTATTGTTAACTTATTACGCAACTGCGTATGAGAATTTTCATGCGTATTTATAAAAAGCAGAATGTAACAGAAATCTTGAAAAGTATTTAGTGTATTTTCTAAATAAATTTTTCAGGCATTGCACAGTGCGCTGTGTATAGCCTGTGTGTAGCTGCGAATTGTTCTCGTATTGTTATTTTGAAGTTGTTAATCAATTTCGCTAAATCGGGAGTACGAAGTACTACACATTCTACACATTTTATTTCGTTGCTAAAAATTTTGACAATCGATCTGCGAACATTCGATAACGTGACGCTGTGTTTAGAATGCTAAAAAATATATAAGTACTGACGTGACGTCGGTATATTAAGAAAACTATTAAATTCATATTGTGTCGGCCGGAAGACCGAATGATTAACGAGCAGTTAATTACCCTACTGAAATATGTATGACAAACGTTAAACTTCCGCGACATTCGGCAGTTTTGAGAATCGCGAGACTAACTGAAAGGCGTTAATTATGTGACTCATAAAACTTCCTCGATTTTTCACTCGCGCGACAAGCTCGAAGTTAATTCGAGACAAATTCGATTCTTATTCACTGACAAGATTAACATGAAACAAGAAAACATTGATTAAATGCTCCACGGAGCTTATCTTCCTAGAGAGTTCTCGCGAGCGATCATCCGGTGTGTTGTTGAAAATATTTGCACATTGTTGCATCCGGCAAATATGGATTGTATGCAACCAAGTTTTGACACAAAACACATTCAAGATGCAAATTTATGCGGAGTAATTCAAAAATTGGGCTTATACCAACATTACGCATGTTACACGTACGTCGGAATAGATCACACGATATATCGAAATACTTGTCACTCACATTAGATTCATGACAGAGCACGTAATGCACATTATGCATGCGCAAGCGCTGATTTCTCGTCGCGTCGCTCTCGAATGACTTCCCGAAATATATGGTCTCGTAGTACACGGTTCGCGCTTCGGCGACAGGCATTTTTCTCCCTCGCCCGCTTTTCGTATTATTGAATATCGCCTATTTGTCGAGCAACGTCTTCTCGCTCGTTCGGTCACACTTATCGTGTCACTGTTTCGACGACTTTTCCCTCCCGCTCTATCTCGGCCTCCCGCCGTCCGGGGCCGCGCTTGCCAGAAATATCAATTTGCGCGGGAGTGGTAACAGTTTGCTTGATTTGGCACGGTGCAGCTTACGTCCGAAATAAATCTTCGCGAATGTGATGTCGGTGCCCGCCCCGGAAACCGATTGTCTATGTGGATTTGACATGAGTAGTGCACTCGTCCCGGCTTTGTGGACGATATTCTTATTCTTGCGACTCGGTTTCGCGTCTTATTTATATACTTTCAAACCGATCAAAATAATGCTGCTTTTAATGCGCAAAGAAAAATGTTTATTTAATTGTTTGCCTTAATGTCAAATGTGGCTGCACAATTCTATCGTTACGCTAAAGCTGAATTTACCTCTCGATGCAATATTAAAAGGTACCTATTGACAAGTGCGGCGGCGGAAGCTCATAATAAATTATAACGGCAAACACAGTAATTGTTGTTCCGACAATGAGTCTTTTGTAATGAAAGTAAATACTCAGAAAACAATCGGAATATGTAAGTATTTCGGAATGCGTTACGGACTATTTAGACAATCTATAATTCGCGAGAGATACGAGGTAAAAATTTATTTATAATTTTACGTAATAAAAATTGAAATACATACATACAAAATTATACCGTTGATATTTATTTTATACATGTATGTATTCTGATTTTTTAAAAATATTTTTTTATCTAACTTTTTAACATGCTTTTTTAACAAAGCATATAAAATTATAAGTAGAATTTTATCTCGAATTCTGTCTGTCTAAAATGGACTTCAGTTATTTTTGCATTTGTCGGCAAAAATCTTTTAATATTAAATCTTTTAATATAATTAATTATAAAAATAAGCACTATAATGGAAAAAGAAGATACAAGATAAACATAGTTCTGTGCAAAATGATAATTCGTGCGAAATGATAATGTAACATTATTAGAGATAACGTAACATTATTAAATATTTAATAATAATTTAATAATTCAATGATGTAACATTATTGGGGATAACGAATCAGTAAGCGTTTAAATTATCTATTTTTTTCCTCCTCAAGTTTTGCATATTTTATCATATAAAAAAAAAAATAAAATTATGGAATGTTTCTCTTTAATTCATCATATTTCAGTGCACTTCGAAATGTAAATCTGTAGAGTAATATTACCGAAGAATTTTCTTATACATTATTTTATTAAAAATTTAATTAACTGTTATCAGATTATGTTGCGCAACAAATACAAAAATGTCACTTTTCCACGTTACGCCCAGCTGTCAGATCACATACAACACTAGAATCGCGCAACCAAAGAATCCTCGTCACTCGAGACTCGCGAGTGAACGATCGCGGTCGCGAGCGAAGCAATTCGCGGTCTTTCGCATCGCGATCCTTGCGAGTGGCAGCGATGACAGCGGTTTTTCGCGCGCAAGAAAAACCGACGGGAGACCGAGAGCCACACGCGGGAAAATAATAATAAGAGGAACGCCCGCGGGGTTTGGGGTAGGTGGACCTAGGCGGGAGGAAGCGCGGGGGGATGCTGCATAATTGAATGAAAGCGTGGTGAACAGAGTCAAGGGGTAGTTCCTACGACTGGGAGGGAATGCTATAATTTCAAGCCAGACAGTCATGCGTTATTCAGCGCGGAGATACAGGTACTCTCTCTTTCTCTCTCCCTTCCTCTCTTTCTCTCATCTCTCCTCTGCCTTTTCCGCGCCCTTCGTGTGTTCCTTTGGAGGGGGGAGGAGCACCACCTCTTCATTCTCTTCTCTCCTTTTCATTCCGCTATATCATATCACTTCTATCCTCTGCCTAACCTCTTCAGCCCTTCGCTCGCTCCCCCCCCCTCCCCCACCGTTTCCGACTCGCGAGATAAGTCGACGCGACGATAATCGGCGACGATGGCGGGATACACGTGCCGCGGATGAAATTTGCAGGATGCGATGCAAACTCACGTTTTCTGTTTTTCTGTTTTATTCAGGAGAGTGACAACCTTTGGTGGGAGTCCTTCGCGAACGAATTCTTCGAGGAGGACGCCACGCTCACCCTCCACTTCTGCTTAGAGGATGGACCGAAACGATACTGTAAGTATTGCTGATTATTCTTTCGCAACTTCTCACTTGACGGTGACACGGATTCGGGAAAAGCTTTAAAAATGTGTTACGCACAACAAAAGACCAATTATCATGCATCAGAAATAAAACGATAAAATATATGAGATAAGACGAATTGTTTGACGTTTAACAACGCCGTGTTATTTTACTTGTCTATCAAAATCTTCTAAAATATCTGCATCTGAAAAATTGCAGAATTTCTTTCGGCACAACAATGTCCGATTGTTCGAACAATATGTCCCTACAAATAATGCAGTGAAAGCGACGCATTTTTAATTGATAAAACTTGGTGAAAGGAGAGCAGGGGAATTGAGTTGCAAAGAAAATATCTTTTTGGAAAGCAACGTGACGTTTCTTGAATGGATTACTCCGATATCAGCTTTCGTTATCTGCGTTAATGCACTCGTTTCTGCCAGCGCGAGATAATTTCTTACAGCCTAGCGATATCGCGATCCGTTGTCACCGATACTTAATCGTCGGCGTGTTCGTCGGGCACCGCCTCTGTTCTAAATAATGACGTGCCACCGCGCGGCAATTTTGCAGTTGGTGGATTTTAATGTCTGTTCTCGCACCGTCGCGAGAATATACGACGACAACGTGATTACATGTCGTGCGGATGCATGTCGTCGTTATCCGGGTATAAACGACAGGCCCGCCCGTGCAGTAAGACGCGTCCGAACAGGCGCGCTAATGCTAAATGCATTTTGCAATTAAAAAGGAAAAAAAAAACGCTTCTTATTTTATTAATAAATTCGAAATTTTGAAAACAAAGTGTTAATTTCATAAAAGAAGCAATTGTATAGGAAGACATGTTTGTCTTTAGCATTCCGGATCAGACAGAGTTGTTTTTTTTTTTTTTTTTTTTGTCGGAATCGTCTACAAGTCAAGCTACTGATAAATCGTGCGAATGAGATAATCGCTTGATAATTAATATTTTATGAATTATTTATTTACTCTGACCTTAATCTCTACAATATTTAACACAGAAACAAGATCGATCGAGCTGTCAATCTTAATCATCGCCCCCGTCTTTCTCGCATTCGTTGAATTTATTTCTAATCGTTTCCACGCTTATCCTTTCAGCGATAGGAAGGACGTTAATACCAAGGTACTTCCGCTCGATATTTGACGGCGGAGTGACGGAACTTTATTACACACTGAAGAATCAGAAAGAGTCGTTTCATAACACCAGCATAACTTTGGACTGTGATCAGTGCACGCAGGTCACACAGTACGGAAAGCCGATGTTCACCAAGGTACGAACAGTAAAACTTATTACACATCTGATTATCGATATTTTTACTGCATAATTATTGAGCCAAAGTAATTAAAATGAATAAAGTAAATTGGAAAAGAGAATGGCAAAAAATTGTAATTTAAAATAAACGTATAATCCGAAATATTCATTATAACGTACGTCACGTCGTTATGAAAATTGTCATATGCGTCGTATTCCAATGTGACACAATTAGAAAAATCGATTTTTTTTCTTTATTAAAAAAATTTATCACAAAGGTAAAAAGGGATCAAAATTTAATTGGATCTCCGCAATTCCTGCAAAAACTATTTCCTAGCTTATGTTCTACGAACTCTCGATGGTGACGCGCGGAATCAAGCACTCTTGAAATAGACGAGGCAGATATTGTTACCCGAAACTCGTTTTAGGTGTTAACGGAGGGCAGGTTAGTATTGGAGTTCACCTTCGATGACCTCATGAGGATAAAGTCGTGGCACATGTCGGTGAGGGCGCATCGGGAAATGATACCGAAAAATGCGCTTGTCAGCATACAGCAGGACCCGGCGATGATGGAGCAGCTCACCAAAAACATCACCAGGCAGGGCATGTCTAACGCTACCCTTAACTACCTTAGAGTACGTATTCTCCACAATGCAAATGCTATCTTAATTTAGCATTTCAAATAAAATTTTCAAATTTTTTACACGCATTAAATGTTTTTACATGACAGAAAATTATTAACACAGCAATCAAATTACGAAGAATAGATACAAATCAAGTCGCTTCTTTTACGATTTTAATAAATAATTTAAAAATTTTCTAAAATATTTACGCTTTGTAAATTTAAAACAAAAAAACTTGTACGATTTTCCCAAATTTAGTGCGTGAACGCGCGTGATTGTGCTAGTCATCGTATGTACCGAAACCAAACAGAGCACCAAGGAGAGCGCGAGAGAAGAATAATTTATTATCGATCTAAAAAAGAAATTATATCGATAGTAATCAATTGCGGGCACAATAATTGTTACAGCAAGAAGGTGTGTCAGCGCGGGGTTAAATCGAGCTATCTCGGGACACGGCGTATGTCTGCCTTCTCGAAAGTATCCGCGACTATCCGGGTTACGATCCACCTTCTTTCCGCTCTCGGAAGCGCTTTCACCGGGGCGCCCGCGCATACCGTCGTGTATCGTCTCGAGCCGGTTGAAAAGCCCGTCGATTGTTACGTCGCGGGAAAGTCCTCGTCTCTATTGTCGGACCGGTACACACGATCGGAAACGCGTGAAACACATCCGTGTTTCGAATAATTTCTCCTTGCCGATGACGAAAGCGAGCTTCGATTGATTAATGACGCGCTGTCTTCGGTACTTGAGTCGTTCTTTGAATGTCAGCTCATCTATTTTACATTCATTGCACAAAGTAACAATGTTTTTGGTCAAAGATTTATATACTGTAAATTATTAATGTCAAGTATATAATATTACAAAACACTTTATTTTAACGAAAGCTTTATGTGGAATCAATTTTCTCTCAATGTTGAAAAATAAAGAAGTTATTTTATATGATTTGTATTAAATATTAAAATATTGAAAACCATCTTCTTAGCAGGGATTTATTTTGTACATAATGGCGATTTTTTTACAGCTGTGCGTGATCTTGGAACCAATGCAGGAACTCATGTCGAGGCATAAGGCGTATGCTTTGTCACCTCGTGATTGTCTGAAGACTACCTTGTTCCAGAAATGGCAGAGGATAGTTGCCCCGCCGGGTAAGAGAGGTAGACGAACAGTTGCTTTACATGAGAAGCACCAGCCAGTGAAGCCAAACAGTCGGCTGATTCTGACCGACAACTAGTGAAATTGGTTTTTGCCATACGCACTATTATCCGGTTTCCTTTGTAGCTTTGTCGCGATTGCTTGGTTCCGTCGGTTTCTCCCCGTTGAGTGTGATTCTTAAAGATTTTGTTCTCAATTAAATCCACATCTTACGTCATCTGTCTTGTTAACAAATAATAATAAAAGAGATAATGATATTAAGCATTATTGTGATATCAATGTTTTATTCTGCAAATACATGTCGGTAGATGGCAGTTCCGTAACTACTCGATTGCTTTGCGTTATATACTATGGATTTTAATATCTGTTCCTTTATTGCCCATTTTGATCGTGTTTATCGTCATTGCGTTTCGTGTTTCTTGTTTTATGATTTTGTGTGTGATAATTCGAGTGTATTCACCTTTTCCTCTCGATATTCCTGTAAGGCCAATAAAACCGTGGAACCAAGCGCGCGCGAAGCACTAAGTACTACCATGCCAAGCGTGTTTCTCTGTAAAGATCGCTCGAGAGTGCGAAGCATAAGTAGCTGGAGAGAAAGATAGAAGCAGACCTGACATATGTCTACATACCTGTTTGTCTATCGATGCATGTTTGTGCTTGTTCGTGTCAGAGACCTTTGATAATGAGAAAGGTCCACAACTGGGTAGTGCTCTTAAGTTTATCAGTGTGTAGCTACACACGTGGCCAAACATGGCCATTGAGTGCGCGCAAGCGCTTGTGTTTACGACATGTCTCTTACTATTCAGAATCGCAGCGACCAGCTAGCAAAAGAAGAAAGCGAAAGGGTAGTACCTCAGGACCGGGTAACAACGCTCCACCCGCACCCAGTAAAAAACGTTCCCCAGGGCCAAAATTTTTCCTTAGCGTCGCAGGTAGATACATCAACTAGTTTACTCAGCCGGTCGCGCCGATCGCGCAACGTTGCGAGGAAACGGGCACTAATTAGAGGTTCCTTCCAGGATGTGATGGTCGTTGGAGAACCATCTTTGATGGGAGGTGAGTTTGGAGACGAAGACGAACGGTTAATCACAAGGTTGGAGAACACGCAATATGACGCTGCAAACAATCTGGATCCTCATAGTCACGACGCATCTGGTGGTCCACCGCCCCATCCTCATCAGTTCCACTCGGAACCGACACCGGGCAATTCCTGGCCGCCAGATCGCGGTCCTGGTCCACCACAGGGTGGTCCTGGCAGTCAGGTAACTTACTGCAACCAAACTGACACATCAGACAATTGCGCGCATACAATGATGATGTACATTCCCTCGGAACTTACCACATCAATGCAAGCATTCATTAGCTAACTGATTTTGAAACTCGGCACTTCTGGATTTAATGTCTCGAAAGAATCACTTATTTGACTCACGTTGGAAAAATCAATATTGAAGACACTTGGCTCAGCAAAAAGTTAAGACAAATAGATCTTAACTTAGAAATAAATTTAACGACAAGGTATTGATTCTAGCGAATACTACTTGAACATTACAAAATGTTGTACTATAATTCGTAACGTGTCAACACCTTTAAGGTTACGTTTCACATTCGTACTTTTTCAGGGAGTGCAAGGAGGTCAAGCGGGTGCAGCTGCAGGTGTTCAGGGAACGCAAGACGCCAGTCAACAACAGCAAGACAAGAAGAGCCCCGCAGTGAGCCAGTGAGGCCAGGAGTCCCCGCGCCCCCCCACCAGGGGGCGACGGGGGCGCAGGCCCAAGAACGTGGCTCCCTAGCGGGGCGAGAATCCTAGCCTCCCCACTGCCGCCGCCTATTTGGCCTCCGCAGCCGGTCCCACGGTTGGCAGATTGTCGTCGCACGTCGGCATGCTGCCGGGGCTGACCTGTCAGCCCGGTTTGCCGGCAGCAACGACGGTAGCAGCGGGCCATCATCATCCGGAGCAGCATCCGCAGTTGGGTCATGTAGCTGCCGCTGCCGCCGCCGCCGCTGCTGCCGCCGCCTCGATGGGCATGGATTCCTCGGAGCTGATGGCGGTGGCTCATTACCAGGCTCAACAGTTGCAACGGCAATTGCTGGCCGAGCAGTCTGGTCCAGGCGCCACGATGCTGCCGCCTACGTCTGCTCAGTCGACTGGTGGAGGCTTGACGCAGCCGCAGGGACTCCAGGGGCAGCAGCACGGTCAACTCCAACCGGGCCAGGATCCGCTACAGAGCCTGGTGCAGCAACTGCTTTGCTTACAGCAGATCGAGTATTTTCTCGCGCAGCGCGGTCACAAGTAATTTCATTTGAGAGAGGGAATCTCTCACGTGGAAACGAGACAGCACAGACGGACCAGAAAAACAACGTTTGTAATTCAAATTGGGACTTGGACGAGAAATGCATTTTGTGTTGGTGAAGTGCTGATTTATCGATAAATAAATTCCGCGTCAATGAGTGACCATCCGCCGCTGCCGCCGTCGATTCTGCGGCGTTGTTGAGAATGAATGCGAGGATAAATCTATTTCGGCGGTGTCTGCTCTCGAATTCGTAAGATTTCTCCAATTTTCGGACGGAGGGGAGGCGCGGTGTCTTGGAGTCCGCTACGACGATACGGGAAGGTTGTGGAGAATCCGAATGAGCGGCAAATGAAAGAGAGGAGAGCGAAAGTTGCGCCTTGGATCTCGTTTCTCGTGGATCAAATATATCTCTTTGGGACACCGTGCGGATGGACGGTGATCTCCAGGATAGAGGGAGGTCGAGCGTTTTAGCGTGTGATAAAAAAACTTTATGTCAAAAATTATATTAAATATGAAAGGTGGAGTGGTATGACTGTGCGGTCAAATGGTCGCTGTCGAAGAAAGAAGAAGAGAAAAAGAAAGAACGTTAACGCCACACGCGTCAGGGACGATTATCCGCTTTGGCGTGAGCTGTGAATGAATCTCTATCCGTCACCAGTATTTAATAGAATAAATAAATATAAAATATTGTAAGAATTATATCGTAAGTATTTGTGCAAACGGTAGTGTGCAAGTTCAAGAATGGACGTTGTGACAGTGATCCGAGATGTGTGTGGGAGAGAGAAAGAGAAAAGGAAAAAATGTGTGTGCGAATGAGCGAATAAGTGAGAGATAGAAAGAATGAGGGAGAGAGAGAGCGAGACGGAAAGTAATATTTAACTTGAAAATTTTTTTTGCGCGCGGACAGATCGAACGAGAGAACAGCACTGATGCTTTGCTGATTTCTCAGGTCTCGTAGAATAATTTTATTATTCGTTATATATTTAACATTTCGCTTTGCGTATTATTACATAATTATAAATATATAATAATAAAATTCTACAACGAGTATGTTCTGGAATCAGCGGGACATTGGTATTTGGTCTGTTCTCGCATTTAAAAAATCTTTACGTCGAATGTGACTTTACAGTATATCGCGGTACGACACGTAGCATAGCACGTACCCACGTCTTACGAATTATATGTAACTTTTAACTTTTTATGGAATATACCTAAGTGAATAATTTACGTTCACACTGATCTGATCGTGCTTCTATTTTTAATGCCAAGATGGTGACATTAGGACTTTTATGATTTTATTTGACACATTAATAATGCGCGGTGATTCGATACTTAGTACAATGTACGTCAGATGAAGATACATACATGCGCATACAAACACGTACGTTAATGTACACGTAAATCTTTATTGAGTAAAGTTCCTTGCGCGTTACATATTATCATCATGTATGTTCCTCATTAATATGTTTATATGCGTCGCATTTGTTCCTATTTTTATATTACTCTTTGTGATTCGTCATGTTCCCTTTTTTTATTTAAATGACTTTTGAAAGACATCAAATTTTTAATCATTGATTATCAAATTAATCGATGTTTTGCTCTTTTAATCTGATTTGTTTGTGAATCTTTTTAATAACTTGTTTTTTAACACGTTCAAAATCAAAATAAACTTTTATCTAAGTTTATTATTTGGACATTTACTTAACATTTTAATAAACTTATGTGAACTTTTTTAAAATTTTTTGAGCTTATTAACATTATTTAATAAAGCACGGAAAAAATAGACCAATGAGTGTGGTTTACGTTCACGGAAAACAACAGTCCGTTTTGGATGTTAATTATTCACTAGTTACACTTGACTTCAAGTCTCGTCAACGCAAATGTTTTCTTCGAGAGTAATTATATATACAAATTAGCTACATGTGAATTCAATTTTACGAACATTTGATTTTATGTACTCTTTAAATCTTTAATTGGTTTTTTAATTTTTTAAATGTTGTATGATTCGTCAATGCGTATAATTTAACTGAAAATTTAAATTATTTAGTATTGATATTATATGTATATCCACGATCCAAAGAGCAAGACATTAATGACTTAAAAATTTGAAATTAAACTAGCGTCGAAATGAAAGAAAAGGGAACATCGTTTTAGTTGTAACAATCATACATCACACGAACTGCGATTTCCGTATGACTAACGTCATTAATTACTAACACGACGTTGGTACGAGCTCTGCTTCGACTTCGGAATTTAAGCTCCAGTACATACACACGAACACAAGTACATAAACAATTTGCGTATCATAAATCTCTCTGTTCTCGCGAATATTTCGTAATGATGTAGATCGTGACTTATGAATATCATTTTCACATCAGATTATTAACCGATTAACCGAATCAGCATATCTTTGCCATCTCTGGTTCTGGACAGCAAAATTCGATAAATAGAACGCGTTGATCTATTCATTCTCAAACCATCAAGAATAGTTAAATTCGAAAATCTTCTGGACTCTTTATATTGCTCATTATATTCTCTTGAAACGTGCTTTCTGATTACATTTAAAATCCGAACTAATGAGTGGTATATAATGTTTATAGAATTTTTTTATTTGATCATATTCGGAAGTTTGGAAAGAGATGGTCCAACGTTCACAATAAATTACATCTTATACGAAAGAATACGAACAGAAGAAGAAGAGAATATATAAATGACAGCAGTTTGTCATGATTATATGGACATATAAACATGTAAACTGTGAACATGATAAAATAGTCGATATTTATATATTTTTTTAATTTTTCTTGCTGGTTTTTAATGCAGTCACATTATCGTGCATTGATTTTGACTTCTTTCTCTTTTAATTGAAACGAAGCAGAAGCTGTACATTGAAAGCGGACATAGTTTTCATATAAAATGTATACCCAGAACGAGAGAAGAGTCGCGTGTAATTTTAAAGGAAAAAAAAGGGGGACATCCGCGTGCCAATGCGCACGCAGTACATACTAACATACACATATACACGCTCTAAAATCACATACAATCATGAATTAGTTAGATAAGCCACGTGTGAAGCCAGTACAGTCCCACGGCGTGAGAGTGTGCGAAAGTAGGAGAAAGGTGTATTTCGTACATACACTTGTGTTTGTAGAGAGAGAATGAGAGAAAGCTAAACAAAGTCAGAAAGAGAGGGAGAGAGTGAGAGAGAAAGAAAGAAAGAGAGAGAGAGAGAGAGAAAGCAAAAAAGAGATAGAAAGAGAGAGAGAGAGAGAGAGTGTATGTATGTATGTTAGATGCGTGTGCGAGAGAATAGAAAAAGCGCGAATGATTTCGACACGAGCATGCAGTGGGTTTTAGCATAAATGAACTATTGACAAATGTTGTATATTATTACGAATTATAATGACACTATTATAATTAATTAATTAATTAATTAATTATTATACCCTAATAATGTGAATTGAATTTAAACGACAAAAAATACACGAAATGATAAGTAATAGGCGAACAAATTTTTAATTGTTAGCGAAGCACACACGAAGCCGGAATTAATAATACCCCGCGGGCCTAGGCCGAAACTCGAAAGTAGCAGGTCGATCCGCACGACGAAGTCGAAGTGCGCGGCGGAGTCGAACGTATGGAACTTAAAATCCTTGCCGGGAGAAAGTGCATCGCCCAGCCTCGAGCGGCACGACTCGCCCTCCATATAAGGAAAAGGACGCATTCTCGGTGATGTTCGTTGCGGTCTCGGATCCGTAATGCGTTCGCGCGGTTAACGGCGCTTCGCCGCGAAGCGGCGTCTCGACATTCCGCAGTATCGAACTAGTCACATTTCACCAGAGAAGCACAATTGTAAAAGTCGACCGATGAACACTTGCCGGCCGGTTTTACCGATGATTAACTTTAATCGCAATGATATTTTTAATCGATTTTTCGCTTCTTTCCAGCTCGAGTCTTCGAAAGAGACGAGGAATCGCATAAATGGAATTAATTCTGAATGAGATCGGTCCTCGGACATTGGAACAGACTGATAAAGGTTTTTAGTAAGTTTCGTCGAGAATATTTTCGTTCAGTATGCGTTGGATACTTTTCTCCATAAAAAAAATATGTATCACCTGCGCATAAATTACTTTTCTATCTCTAGAGTGTAAACGTTTATTCGGATAAATCCCAGCTGCCCCGTTCGAATAATCGGCGATGCACTTCGAAACAGTGTTCAGAGTAAGCCACGACGCGAGAGGCGAGGTATAGTTCACGCATGCAAGCTCGGCCGCATCCTCACCGAGAGAGCTATTTTAGCTTCGAAGGTCCTGCGAGAGAGTCGTCGCGCTATGGGGAACATCTCGACCGATACTTTGTGATCGTTCGTCGTCGTATGTGGTCATAGTCGTACGAGTCGAGTTTTGAGTTATACGCGCAAGGAGGAACGGAGGGACTGCAAGCTCGACGGGCTCAGTGAAAGTATCGATCATAATAGAGTGAGAGTTGGTCGCAAGCGGATGACCCGGGGTCGTGCATTAATCTGCGAGGAAGCGGCTTTTGGTTTTGGTCGCACGTTTCATTTCTTTCTCTTTTTTTTTTTTTGTTCTACTTTTCCTGTCCTTTTCTACGAATGTGCGAGATGCGGAACTTGGTTTCTCGTACGAGAAAGAATATATATTTTGCCGATACTGAGACAAAGTAATATGAATCCTAGTGCTGGCGGTTGGAAAGAATTGCTAACAAAGAGCCACAAGTGCGAGAGGCACGTAATGTATTCCGGAAAGGCGTTAACACGACGGCGTATGCCATTCTTAATTAATTATCGCAATTTTGCGTTAATTCCGATCTTTGTTGCGTGATTCTCGATGATTTTACGAGCAGTTAGGGGCAGGTGCAATTTCATTCATGAATTCTTTATTTTTTAATTCGATTGAGACTTTGATTCGCGTTTTGCGCAATGTAATGCAGCTTTGATGAACGAATGGAACACTTATCACGAATAAAAAATTACTCGATTAACACTTTATATATTTTTTTTTCAAATTTAAAATCAGAAAGCAAATAAAATTCATATTTTGACACATTGACGAAAAAGTCATGAGATTTTTTCAAATTGGAAAAGCTAATCAAGTTGAACTTGCGTACTTTGAATCAGTTTCAATTTTCTGAATGTAAATTGCTTTAATTGATAAATTAATCAAATTTATTAACGTCAAATATTTTTACTTTTTAATGATTTTATCTAATGATTAAAACATGTACTTCATAGTTTACATAATTACATATGATTGGGAAATTGAATGTACTCACACTAGATTCTCGTTATAAGCAGCATTATTAAACGCATTAAAATGATAATGTTCAATTAAACCTTTTGCGATTATATATAAGCCGCCAACTGATAAACAGCAAGTGCTTGATTAGCTTAATTTCTATTCATCAACAAGATTTGGCACGAATGACATTTGTCGAGCGTGTTACCGCTCTATCGTTGTAATTTATGATTAATATTTGATAGATTGTTAAGCGAATTGTTCGTTTATCGTTCACGAGTATACCGCAAGCCTCATTTAATTGATTCATTCGCCTAAATATCAATGCAATCTGCTTGATTAGTGTACATAATTTACATATAAACATGGGAACAATTGGCGTTTTGTCAGAAATTAATCGGGAGAGCAACGTGATCATATTGTCAAAGATTTTTGCGATATATTTTTTCTCGCACGGTGAATCATCGAACCGTATCTTTATAATCTTGGAAAGTATGATTTTTCTTTACCGATATACGGCGTATTTTGATTAGGATTATCGTTGGGGAAGGTGATTGATCGTAATTATACGCGCGCGACGCCAATCTCGCGCACGAGAATCTTTGTCGCACGACGATTCGGTTCTGAGTCGGGAGGATCTAAAGTACATTTTGGCTCAGGGATAGGAAGGGTGTGTCGTATTCAAAAGCGTTACTTGCGAGCTTCGGACTGAGCAGCCGAATGGCCACTGCGATTACCGCCACTTCCTTCTCGTCTACTCGATCTGCGTCGAGCAATTCTCCGAGTCGTAGGACTGATCTTCGCAGTCAAAGTTCCTCATTTAGCACTCTAGTGGTTCGACAAATTTTACTTTTAGCGGTTCTGCTTTTTATTTTTGTACAGAGAACGCGAAAGAAACATATGAGAAGACTCAAGTGTGCAATATTCAGATCCTTTATCTCAATAAAATTTATCTCAAGTAAACTTTCGCCGGGTTTTCAGCCATTTGCATAAGACGACCGCATATGTGCGTTTGGAAAAATCGTCCCTCGATGATTAATTACTGGGTATAATTTGTATCGTCTGGAAAAAAAAAGCTCCGATCATTACGCACCGTGTGGTCTACGCAGGATTTTAAATTCTCTACGAATCAAATTTGCATATCACCGACCGAATCTCAGGAGAAGCAGATTAGTATTATAACGAAAGCGATGTGCGGAAGTCGAATAATCACGTAGCCGCGATCCTAGACCGATTAGTGTCTCGCCCTGTTGTCGACCCGATGCTGTTTACCTAAAGGATGATATTCCAAATAATTGTTGATAAATGGTCAGTCCTGTGTATAATGGTAAAGAGGAAAAAAAAAAGAAAAAAGACGTGCCACTCGTCGCTGCACGACGAACACGCGCGAAGGCAACCCATTGTCGTTCCAAGTTCAGAGGACCCTTTCTCATTTGCGTCGGCGATCGTCGAAGCTGCGCCTCGTCCTTGTACATTCGTGTATATGTCTGATTATGATCATAATTCAAATTGTACACGAGAAGAAACACGCAATTCTATCCAAATGTGGGGACGCATTTCCTTTCTTCATTCGTATTAGAATTATGATTCAGTGTTATATTTGCGCGGATCACTTGATCGAAAATGTCGGTATGATTGTTGCTAATTTCTGTATAAAATCTTTTCTTTCTGTATTAGATAATTAATTAATTAAGGCTATTGAGATGTTATTTTTTCTCAAAATGTATAAAAGTCTAAAGGACATCCTAATTTTTCAAATGTTCTTTAGGCTCATGTTGGTGATTTTTCTAACGTTCTATAAGCAACATATGGACAAACAAAATACAAGGAACGTATTAATGTTGATATGACCGCAATATTCTCCCAAGACCGAGCTCGGCTGCTATTTGTACTTCTGTAAATACCGTCCTCTGAATTTGGCACTGGACCCGTGCCTCTGTCGGTGTGAAAAACAGTCCTAAGATCGGCGGGTCGGTCAGATCGTTAACACCGGACCTGTCTTGAGCGACGATTGCGCATCGATAGTGTGTAAAATATTAGCGAATTAGGGACGATTTAATTGCGATCAAGGATATTACATACCTTACCCACTTAGTGGACATGGGCCAAACTCGGTATATTATATTAATATACATTCAAAGTTGGCCCATCGCCATGACCAATGAAGTAATAAAAAAAAGAAAAGAAAAATAAAAACAAAAATGAATTGTCATCTAATTACATTTTTACGCACTCCAAATTTTTATCCTCGTCATTTGTATCATAGCAACCATGTGTTTAAAGAAGAATCCACATTATATGTATGTAATCAAAATTGTAACTGATAAAACGTTAATAAAAAAACGATATCCGAAATCTCGCCTGTGCTAATGTCGCCAATCTTTATTTCTGCCTGTACACAATGGCTTTATTTAATAGTAGTATTTTAATTTAATATGTAAACATGAAAAAACATGAGAATTAACTACATAAAATCTAATTATTGCTTCTAATAAATTCAGCACGCGTTATTTTAAATTTTATTTCTGTTTTTATCGATATACATATAATTCAAAGATTTAAATATATTGACTACAAGTCTTGGTTGACAGTTTCACACACAACCGGCGATATTAAAAGCTATCGAATTATTTGTATTACGACATAGTGGGTTGAAATATTTTTGTATGCAGAGGATAATTAGAGAAATTTTAAAATTGAGGAGTATTCTTCATTAAAGCATTGTTCGAATTATTTCAAATTTTTCGAAATTTATCTAAAATAGATCAATTTAATGAGAAATTTTTTTTTATTTAATAATGCAAGTAAATACATAAATTAATCCATAGATAATAATCGACATAGATACCGAATTATTTATATTGTGATATAGTCATATTAATTGCTATTTATTAACAGTTTGCGTTTTTATATGTAGGGCAATGTTTCATGTTGATAATTATCTTTTATATAATCTCTAAGCTTTTATCATATGTTTACAATTCTATTAATATTTGCTCAACTTTTATTCAGATTTATTCAGGAATTAAAAATGCAATATATTATTGTTTAGATTACATTTTGCTATTGATTTTATAATTATTCGATTGGCATCGTTTCTTATAGAAAATGAGACAAACACATGGATCGTTTAATTTCTATAAATCCATCAGCAAAATTTGTAAATTATTCTGCTTTCGTTAAACAATATTCTGCTCGAAATCGTTGCTCGGACGATATACAGAGAATTGTTTGCATAGTGGCTCGATTCGGTTTGCATAAACGGGAGAGCAAATACGCGAAAGGAGCAAACATATAATTTATTCAAACCTCACGGAATCGAAATGTGTCGATCACATTTACTTAGAACTCGGTTTAATACTTGATATTCAAATTTTGTCCTTGTCTAAACGCAATCCTTTATTTTGTAAAATCGGTCGTTTTTAATTCGCTTACATATCGATAATTGTACAATTATTACACGGTTGTTAAAATGCTCGAAATGACTGTTTTTTTTTTAATCGATAAAACGCGATCTTTGTTATGCTTTAACATCAACTAGGCAACTATCGTGCGGATAATAATGTTAATAGGAGCAAATGTGTACTTTGCTTTTATCTAGTATCTGTGTACACTAAATTGACTACTTTTTCTATCGCAGTCAATATAAAACGCAGTGCGAGCGCGGCGGCAAAATGTATCAGATCTGGAAACTTGGAAATCGAACTGTGACTCGTGAGATCGATCGAATTTTTACTATCGACGCTTATTAATTCGCGCGACGCAATCGACGAAGGATGTCTTGGCGCAAATTTAATCTCTCCTTGATATTAAGAAGTTTAATCGTTTTCGTGTGGATGACGATGATGTTCGAATTCACGCGGGGTCAACTGATTAGGCCGGTTTACGTGTACGAGGGTTTAATTAAGAGTATACATGATTACTTTAACAACACGTGCATCTTACTCTTGCATACCAATCCGAATCCTATCGAGACACAGGGTGAGAATCGCATAAATTCGAGATAAAAAAATTGTATTAATTAGGATTAGTGTAATCATCCAAGTTTGTACTATTCTTGATTGCAATGAAAGCTGCCGCCTTGCAGGACTCATGGAAGCTGAACGCTTGCTACGTCTTCAGAAATACCTGAGTTCGACGCTTCACATACGCACCGCGCTCATGGATTTTAATATGTTCAAAGCACGAGTGAGCGCATAGACTCTATATCTATTCTAACTTATAATCTACATCTTTTTATTATTGGATATAAATGGATTAAATGCCAAAGTAAAATAAAGATTGCTTAGTTGCTGTATCTCTGAAAAATTTACGAGTCGATATCAAGTAGCATATCGACAAATAATGTATTTATCTTTCATTAAAAAAGAAAAGATCTGTTTGCTTGTAGGTTGGGCAAAGCTATTATCACATCAAGAGACCGTTGTTCGTCATATTAAACGACCATGAAGATACGAGGAATAGTTTTGCGAGTGTAATTACCTCTTAAAAATTCAAAGAATGCTATGAAATTTTATGAATCGTTATTGCATTGTTGCAATAATGTTATTTTGTTTATTATGCTTACAATATATAAAGTAAATGCAAATAAGGATACAAAAAAATTTTTTCTTTTTGAATTTTTGTTGTAAGAAATATATTTACAAGTCAAATAAAGAGAGTGGCCAAGATGTGCCCTAATTTTTTTGTATTCTTGTTTGTATCATTTTATACTCAAATGTGGTATCAGAAGAAAGTACTCATCAAGCTGATTACAGATATGTAAGTCTTAAAGTGTAGCCTTCTACCGATCCAGAGAAAATGGATGTGTTACTTGCAACAATCGTTAGCCAACAGATATAATAATGTATATTTATTCTAATAATTGTTAACAAACAGTGTTATATTGTGTAAGTGCTTATCTGGGATTACAAAAGGATGGCAATGGAAGATACCAAACGATGACAGAAATGGAAAATGTATTATTGCAAATATCACTTCTTTGGATCATTTGAAACTTTGGGAGGCCATTTTCTTTGGATCGGTAGAAGGCTACACCTTAAGATTTACATATTTGTAATCAGCTTGATGAGTACTTTCTTTTAATACCACATGTGAGTACAAAATCGAATACAAAAGAAATTGAAGCACATTGCCTATGGACATTTGGCCGCACTCTTTAACATAATTTATCTTTATTTATTAATTTATCTTCGCACAAATTAGTTTATTTTTATTTCTATGTAGTTCCATATCAAAGCTTTTCAAAACGAATTTTTATCATAAAATGCAGATTTTGTACTCATTAAGTGTCACAATCCGGGAAGTTTGAAGTAGACTGGCATGAACGTTTATTTATCAAAATGCAGCAGGTATCGACATGGATCGCAATGGCTTATCCTACTTGGCTGGTCTTCTTCAATAACGAGACTAAAATCGAAGATTTTTTATTTGATATTTACGTGCCGTTTGATTGTAAATTTATGGTAGCTCGAAGCAGTGTCAATGAAGTCGGCAAAGAAATCATCACTGAAGTTTATCAAGTTGACAAAGAAAAAGAACTAAGATCGATGCAGTTTGGTGTGTGGGATGTGGCAAAGGGTCTGAAGGGTCCTACACGCGGCCTATTTTTACGAAGAAACGATCTTTTCGGCCAGAATATACGCGTTACATCGGTGCACGTAAGGTCGCTTGTCCTATTTTCCGCAAGAGAGTTGTGACTATAATGATAAATAACAGTAGGATAATCAGTTAATTATCAAAAGGATAATGAATGTTATTTAATAATAATTAATGAGTTAGCAATAAAATTCTATGATTTTTTTCTTACACTGTTTTGTGACATAACAATATTTTTAAGTGTTGTTTATTAATCGATTTCTTTAAAAGAAGAAAGTTTGTCATATTACGAGATTTGACAAAATAATGTTTAATATCTACTTCAGCATACTTTAGCATAAATTTCACGGCCGTAGGATCCCCCTATTAGTCTGTTTCATCGTAATGAACAGAACGAGATAACAGGAATGAGCGGCTTTTTCGGAGAAGTAATTTTACTGTTGCAGGAAGGGATGAATTGCACGTAAGTATTACACTAGAAATTGTATTGAACAGAAAGTTTCTTCGTCGAAAGTTTGATTTTGCCTTTTATTTTTATCGAAAAAGAAACTTTCCGATCGATCTAATATATGAAAAAGATATTATTCCAATTGCTATCCATATAATAGCCACTATAAGATAATCTCTAAACAAAAATATGATTTATCAAATTTATGACAAATTTAATAATTGTAATCAATTTATTGCATTTGGTTTTCCGTATGTTTCCATTTCTAATCAGATTTAGTTTTGTCTACTTTTCTTGCTTTTTGTCCTTTTCCTCTTCTTTGTCTTTTTTTTCTGCTATTTTATTTTCCTTCTCTTCTTTAAGTCGTTTTTGCTGCTCTCTAAGCTCTTCCAGTTGCCTGGCAGATTCCTTTCGGAAGTATTCTGCCTCACTAGCTGCTCCTCTTTCCTCGAAAATATCTTTCTTTCGGCCGATGCCGGTTCTTCGACGTCTTTCCGAATATGTTCTTGCATTTTGTAGATAGTTCCTAATTATACGATTGTATTTAAAAAATATTAAAATTTTATTTATCAAGATCAGTTTTTGTGTGTGATATAATTATCGATTCCGAATTAACACAACTTATGAATTTTTAAGCTCAATAAGAAAAATTAATATTAATTGTTAAAAGAGGTTACATCATTGACTTCATCCTTTGTGAATTAATCCATTTTGTAGCAAAATTACGCAGCATGATGTCGTCACCGTTCCATCATTTTGTGTCCCTTTTTTTCTCACCCGCGTTCTAAAATTATTGACTTTCCCTAATATTGAAAGAGGCCATAAATAATTATGACATAATTTTGCTTATCATTTTTAATTTTGATTTTGACAGCCATGAAGTTCTTCCAAAAATAGTATAGAGTTTTTTTTATTGTTTTATGTGATATATTTTTATATATATATAATTGGTTGCCAAGAATTATAAATTTAGATATTTTATTGATATATAATTGTGACAAATAGAAAATTTATTTAGTTTGAAAAAAATTGACTATTTTTTACATATAAAATAAATTGTTTTACCTTTACCGTTTTATTGAGAACTCAATAGCTGAAATGTTCTGATATGGACTTGAAAATGTGCTTATGAATGTTATACATTAATAATACTGCATTGTTAAGAATAGTTGTGTCATCAATATTGATGATAAAGCTATGTTTTGATAAGATGTAAAACATTGATAAACAAGATTGAAGCGGATCTTGAAAGTAGGAATATTTTAATAAGTTTGAAATATTTATTTTTTTTGTATTACATAATTGTTATCTGAAACGAATTGAATGCTTCTTTAAACAGGTTGTGGCAAGATATTATCTATAAAAATAGCTCTCATGCTAAATTTGCTTCAGATTTACATACACGGAGGCCAAAACGTGGGGCAGATGTCTACCAAACGGGTCGTGTACAGGTGCCGTCGGGATGTTAATGAATAATGATGTCGACTTCGCGGCGACAGAATTCATGATGACCTCGGATAGATTAGACGTCATCAGTTTTACTTCACCCATTTATACAACCAGGTATCTAATAAAAATTTCCACTTAACAACAAATTCTGTGCACACACAAAAAAGATGTCTCATTATCAAGTAAAATTTTAGCAACAGGTTTAAGATATCCAGACAATTTATAAAAAAGTAAACATAATTGTGTCAATCTGATCCGAGAAATAATTTATATAGCAAGACATGAATATTTTATGCAAAATTAATGGAGTTTAAGAGACATCTTTCTTAGTTTGACATATTAAATATTCAGTGAGTTTGTTAAATTATTATTTAACATTCGTGAGTCTGTGAATCAAAAGAGTAATAAAATTAAAATCTTTTATTCATCTGTTGAGATGCCGTGCATACATTAAACGGCCAGCAGCGGCGAATGTAAAATGGGATGCTTATTCGGCACCGTTCTCCGTAAGCATCTGGGGTGTCATCGCTCTTTTCATAATAATTATGAGTGGATCGATCGTATTCATTCAGAAGCTATTTGCGTTCGCATCGATATATCGACAACATGATCGTTCATCGTCGAGATTTACGGAGATTTTGTTTTTTGTCATAGGAGCGTTTTGCAGCCAAGGTAATTTCGGGTTCTATCCGCTGTTCTCTTTTCAAACAATTGCTTTTTAACTGCTTACAATCTTTCCCCTTTTAAAAATTATAATTTATTAGAGGCTCAAATAATTTAAAATTTAAAGGAGCAAAAAAAGTTTAAATTGTGTTGTACAACACAAATTATTGACTTATATACAATTACAATTTAAATCATTGCGTGCGTTTTTTTTTAATTGTAACAATGAGAAAGGCTTGATGGCAGGCTGAAACGTTTGTTTTTATATGTTTTTATAATCTCAATACACATGTTCTGTCTCACGAAAAACCGGCGCATTGTCTCTTTTCGCTCTTGTAAATTTTAATTTGGTTTTTTCTTTTAATTTATGAATATTATTGTGGATATTATTAGGTATGGAGCAATCTACACTGGATCCTGAAAGAATGATGCATTTCGTAATTCATTTAACAGCCGTCGTGATCATAGCCGCATATTCTGCTGCCCTGATTAGTTTTCTTACTGTTAATACATTTATTATGCCTTTTACGACCATGGATGGTCTTCTGAAAGATGGAACTTATCGTTTCGGTGTGGTTGGCGATTCGGCTGACTTTAGTTTCTTTCAGGTACTCAAATTAGTTTTGCCGTAAAATTATGCGATTAAAGAAGAAACATACTGTATATTTGAAATAATATACGCTATATAATTATCAATTTATGAAATTATTTTTTCGATTTTGTTACAATAGAATACATCAGATAAAATAATGAACGTATTGTTCGATAAACTGTTGATGAAAGAAACTAATTTACCAAGTAATTATTTGGACGGCTTAGACCGTGTTTGCAAGGAGGACAAGTACGCCTTTATGATTTTAGACAATATGGCAGCGTTGTTACAACAGAAAGTTAATTGCAAATTGGAGCCACTGGACGCGATTACGCAAACTACTATAGCAATGGCTTTGCAACCCAACAGTCCGTACCGTGGTATTATTAATACAAAGTGTGCACAAATTTCGTTAATTAAGTACAAATTGATATATAATTTTAGTAAAAGTGATTCACATTTTATATTATTGCAGTATTCTTTTGTTGAGAGACAGCGGAATCATGCAGCGTTTGATGCAAACACAATGGTCCGTTCAGCTAAGTGGAGTGAGTATGCATTTATAAATTTTGCAGATTAAATTTGCGGTCGAAAAACAATATGCTTGACAGAATTTGATTGAGTATTTTATAATTTTTAATAACTTTTCGTTTAAAAATGATCTAATGATAATAAATTGGAATAATTTGCTTGAAAATGATTTTAATGATTATCAAAACGTGCTAAAATATTTTTTAACGTAATAATTGTACAAGAAATGTCCATTATATTTGTTATTAATTGTAGGCACAATCATCGTGGAAGTCGGTCGAGATTGGTGATATAGTGCCATTGCTGCTTCTTATAATCGCCGCTTTGATTATTAGTTACTTTGTTTATATTATAGAACGCATTGCGTATAAAAATCTTCTTAAACGAATGAAAGTAGAAATGAATGTACCGCGATGAACTGAGGATGTAAATCGAGTGTTACATTGTTACATCTTTATTTAATAAAACACGATGAGTCTTCTAGTCTAATATTGTCAATTTATCTTCCAATATCCACTTTCTTTATTTTCGATAGCTCGGAATAGAAAACTGTTAGATTGTTTCGGATTTCTAAAATATTATATTTTGCACGTGTTACAGTTACAATCTCCAATTTATAGCACTTTTATCAGTAGGGCAACCGCAAGGTGATAAACAGTTAGGCCAGAATTCATATATTCTAAGATCTGTTTATTTTCTTGACAGTCACTTTGAAGCAACCTACCGAGCAATCTATCGAGCAACTTGTCGAGTGAAATCGTTTGAGAGAAATAAAAGTACGTATTACAATTGCAATACATTCACTTAGTTTGCCTAAAATTTTTCACGGATTTTCGTGAAATTTTTGATGATTGTAAATGAGCAAAATGCGATTTTTTTATTTTTTTTCTTAAGTCATGTCGGAGAATAAAGAGAATACATGTTTGGGTGTACGAAAAGGCAAATTTGTCGAATTAAAAAATAACGTCGAAAGAAAAAAAGGACTGAGCTTAAATGCCGAAACTCGTGCAACAACGACACATGCTTCGATGCAAAAATCTTTCGGGAGTGCGAAATTTAGCGTGCACTCCGATAATGAGCAAGACTGTTCAGGCTCACGGCCGCGAAAACACGTAAGCAGAAAGGAAATTAGAGAAAAACGAACACGAAACAGTGAAGCGACCGCAATAACATCAACATTATTAACGGCGGAAACATTGGAAATAAAAAAAAATGCTGCTGTTGTACGTGGCCCATATAGGTACGAAATCTCGAAAAATTTATTTTATTTAAAAGTACAAACTGAATTATATTTTATCAATGCATTTTTAATTAATATTTTTGAATAAATAGAAATTATACGTATATATATATATATATAAAGATATATTTATTTATTATTTATGGTAGATCCCGTTCTTCGGCTAACTGGAATAGATATTTAGGTTTTTTGGATGATAAGAATAAAATGAAAAATTTTCCACGGAGGTACACATTTTCATATAAATAAATTTTTAACAAATATGCAGAATATAATATAAATTATTTGTTTACAATAGTGCGGATTATATGTTGATACATTTAATATTCACTTATACATACTTATACATACTATACAAAATTTATTATGAATTAATTACATTTTATCTAGAGCCTATTCTGAAACAAGAAGGATTCCGTCTACACATTTAATCGTAACACCAAAAACCAAAAACCAAGAGCAAAAATCAACTCCAAAAACCAAATCTTCTCTTACAGATGATGTTAAAAAGCGAACACTTGCGAGTATTGAAAGGTGGAAAAAAAAGATGAGAAAACGTTGTTAGTATTTTTAGAGTATAATAAAAATGGTGTATAGTAATTCATAAAAAATTTTTTATGACAGTTTTTTTATTCGCCGATTTTTTAGCTGATATTGTGCCCAGCTATGCAAATAAACATTCCAACGTATTAAATATAGACAGAGGAAATAAAACCAAGTTACAAGACAACATTATCACAGATATCTGCAAAATTCAGAAATGTAGCGCAACGTCAAGCAATGCATTGAATGTTGAGGTATTACAAAGACAGACGATTAATTCGCAGAAAAATATTCAAAAATTGATGCCAGCAGTTGATTTTTTAACTACACGATATTCATCAAATGAAGTCACAACAAATGTGCAAGATGACAGTTTTTCAAGCATACAAGAAGATATTAATAAAACGTAAGTAATAAAACAGACAATTTATACAAATAAAATAAATAGACATCAGTAAGTAATTGATTATCAATGTTTCATTTTTTAATTATTATCGCAATCAAAATTATAATCCTATATGTTAAGTTAAATAATTGAAACATATCTTATTTTGGATTGTTGGAAATATGCTGTGTAAAATGAATTATGTTTCTAACAATAATCAAGATAATAGTTAATTAGAATTTACAGTAGCAATTAATTTTAGAAGTGCAACATCTCCGATTAACTCTGTTGCCGGACAATTGGCTGAAATAAAGGTAGAAAAACACAATTTATATAATTAAAGTCTACTCAAATGTGTGTGTTGATATTTATTAAATAGATTAGCATGTTGTTTTTATTATAAATTAATATTATCATAAATGTAATTTTACTATTAGCAAAAATATAGATGATTGAATTTAATTATATACCACTTTATTGTATCTGAAAATAATGTTTGTATTTATTGAAAAAAAACAGTGTAAAAAATGTATGATGGAGGATGATTATTTAGAAGATACGCCGGATGTAGAACGCATGAGAGAGGAGATTTCTCCTAGTCTTTCTTCTCGTTTTCTGCGTGGAAGTGTAAACGCACAACAAAGAAGAATCATCGTAAGGTATCTGATTCATCTTGCCGTAAGTACATGACACAATCAGAAATATAAACACTTGATATGAATATAGTATAATTTTATTAAAAATAGTATAATTTTAACTCATATTTTAAAGTTATAAATATACAAAAATAAGTTTTATAATTTTTGATAATAATAAAAATAATTTTTCTCACGTTGTGTAATAATGAAAAATAACCATGCTAATTTCGGCCTTAATCTCTGTTCTTATAATTCTGATCATTTTTAGATACGCTGTAATTATTCGTCACATATCATTTATCAGACTGTTAAACTGTTTGATTTGGCTATTGATAGAATTTTAGTGAATATGAATAATATACAATTAATGTCTCTAGCATGCCTCTGGATAACCCTCAAGCGAGAAATAATCGGACATCAAATACCATCAGTAAGAAAATTTTATTTGAAATATAAATACTATAGTTTTATAGTATTTTTTCAATGTAGATTTGTTAAACATCTAACGTGTCTTCTCAAGATGCACTTTTGTATCCTTTTTTTAGGCGACTGCAATACTGCGACTGGCAAAAGATATGTATATTAATCAAGAGAAAAATTTATTAATGTATGAGAAAAAAATTCTTTTAACTCTCAAATTCAGCATACGATTTGCTGATCCTTATTCTGTGCTTTTTTATTATATCAAAAGTGTGAAGAAGTATGTCATCAATTCAAACGATATCCCACACATTTATTTTTGCGGCAGTTATCTGGTAAGAATATATAAAGTTTATATTTTAATATTTGATGTGCAAACTATATATAAATACATGATGATAAATACTTCTTTGTAGATCGATCTATCTATGTTGGATGAAAGTTTATGTGATATTTTGGAATCTATCCGCGCATTAGCTGCGGTGAATTTATCATTGAATTCTATATATTTGAATAATGTTAATGTGGCTCAGGCATATCGCGAATTTCAGAAAAGCCGAAATTTGACTGAGTAAGTAAATTAGTGAATGGACAAAATAAACATATTTTTAGAAATATTAATATAATAGTTTTGCAATTTTTTTTCTACCGTTGCAATACATTGCAAAAATTTAATTTGTAATATGTACCGAAAAGATTAATTTTAAATATTGCGTATATCGAATTCGTTGCGTTAATTCAAAGTGAATATTTTTCAGATGGGAAGAAAGAGAGTTAAAATCTGTAAAAAAGAGTGTGCTATCACAGATTCTGGATTCCGAGAATGAAAATTCGGATTTATATATTGTATACAAGAAATATGTAAATTGTCAGCATATTAACATTTCCAACTTTTTTCTCAATAAAGTGAAAAAGTTATTACAACAAGAAATGCAACACAAGTTTTAAAGTGTTTAAAAATACTTAAAAATATATAAGAAGATAAAGGAGTAGATAAAAAAATTTAATGATATTAGAAACGTCTGACTTCAATGTAAAGATATTTGATATCTTTCAGACTTTTTTAATATCAGCAAATTTTTTTATCTACGTCATTATCTTCTTGTATATTTTTAAGTATTTTGAAAGATATTTTATAGATATTTTATAGATATTTTATATTTTTAACATTAATGTTGATATTTTGTTTATTGATATATATTATTATTTTTCGTCATTTTACGTGCGGGATAGAAAATTTATTTTTTTATATTAATATGTATTTTTAAAAGTTACAAAGAATGTGATAGTAATGGAATAAAATAATATAATATGCATGTATGCTTGAAAGAATATATTTTATTATTGAAAATTTAAAAAAAAAACAAGCGTTTGATTTAAATATGCTCTTTCTATATGACTTCTTAAAATAATGTTGAAATACATAATTTTTATAATAGCAATGTGCTACTTGTTAATGCATAACATAAGCGAGGTTATCGAGAGTGATAGCAGTTTATTTCTCTAACAGTTCTCTTGCGGATTATTGATATATGATCTAACAGCAATAATTTCTTAGCGCTGATAATAGCAGCAATATCACATGTAGACATCCATTAAGGACGATCAGATAGTTTTAAATTGTTGAGTATCAAGTTTTAATTGCCGTTATTCTGTTGAATATTTGCCCAGGCATTCCATTTGTCCCATGTATTGTCGATGGATATCAATTCTTTCACGTCGTCCTAAAAATAATGATATATTTTATTTATTCATACCGCTTGTAATTCATACAGACAAATAATTTAATTAAATAAAGGAAGACCAATTTACTTACCTTGAATAATACGTTACGTTTGTCATCCCAAGCGCCGAAGAGACGCAGAAGTTCCGGCCGCTTGGAATATAAAGAAGTTGCGGACAAAACACCATGTTTCAACTCTTCCAGGGCGTTCGGCGATTTTCCGGCCGAGCTGACGATTATTCTCGGCGGCTCTAATCCTAAATTGCAATTCTCCCACGCATCGATAGCTGCTTGACTATCATTCGGGCAGAGCAACATGTATTCGTCGCTTTTGCCTGCATCGTCCTTGTCATCTAAAATGTGACGTAGAAACGTTTCGTGAAACAACAAGCGTGATCAGATGTAATTCAGTCAAGAAAATTGCACTTACCGAGCTGCTGCAAAGCCGTCAAAGGTACGAATGCAACGTCTCCTTTACCATCTTTCAAACATCTGGAAAAAGATGTAAATTATATTCTCGAAAATTAATAGAATCTCTTGCAATGCATATTTCTATTGCCAGATTCGAAAAATTTTGTAATAAATTGTGTTTTATAGTAACGGAAATCTCCGATTGGATTTATTGAATTAATTGTAGACACGTATAAAGACACCACATGTATGTAGTATTTGTATGAAACTATGACGTTACCTAAGTGCTCCTTTTCCGCCGTTGTAATGTTCAGCATTCGACGGTCTGCATTTCGTGGCTTCTTTCGTTCGTTCATCGGCCTTGATATTGCCGACGCAAAGTTGACAGGATTTCGAGTTGTGAGGTGCGCCAGGTGCACAGGATTCAGCGAAGAAAGCATCCATTTCGTTCGGTTCATTAATAAGTCCTTTCTGTTTCAGGATATGAGCCGGTGCGGAGTAGCCCGCGAAGTCACCCTCGTAACCGCTATGACAAGACTTCTTGCCTCTGAGATCAGCTGCGAGCAAAAACATTGGCAGTAGCGATAATGCGTAATGAAAGCTTGTGATCTTTCAATCACATATAATTTCTTATAAATGTTTATTCATTCGAATATTTTCCATAAAAAATTTAGTTAATAAAGATATATTGATATTTTAGTTGAAAACTAATATTTAAGAAAAAATCAAAATTAATTCATCTAATTTTGCCTATAATAATTTATTGATTAATTTATAGATTTATAGATTACAGATTTACATACCTAAGTTATTTATGGGAGAACCTCTTTTGATAACAGCGACTGCAGGTCGCTCGCTGAATTTCGTCGATCCCTTGCCATAAGTTTCAGCAATGATCGGCTTTGCATTGTAATTATCGATTGCGAGTTTTACTGATCCGCCGTCAATCACTGCCATGTCAGCTCCGTTATCCCTAATAGCTTGCAAGCAGGCAGCTTCGTCCTTTTCCAGTATGCAATCAAATCTGGGTCTGGCGTCTCTGCGTAGATTGTAACGTAATATAATGCGTTATGTGTGTAACAAAAGCGCTTATACATATTTTTAACGTGACTGCAAAGTAAGATTTATATATATTTTGCATGTAATTACCTGGAGAACGCGGCTCTAGCGAGATTGCGACACTTGCTCAGCGCCTTCTCATCCCAAACACACGCGCGGGCGTCTCTCTCTGGTGCTCCGGAGTTTCTCTCGATCACGTCCATGTATTTCGCAATCTTTAAGTGTTCATCCGGCGATACTGGCGGTGCGGCGACAGCCAAGGTTTTTTCATCGAGCAGCATAATGTCTTTCCACCAATTTGCCTTCTCGTTCTCGCCGAGTTGACCTAACTGCGTCAATTCCTAAAAATATTCCGCAATTAAATTACAATATCCTGTCAGATAGCCGACATCGCTAACATTTTGCTCACTGAGTCTACATTTAAGCTATATATTTTCTGAGATTTCTTATTAAATAAGCATAAAAATACTTCTGTTCGCAATATCATGTTGTTCTATGCAATATTTAATTAGTCATTGAAAACTCGTCCAAATAAGTTAAAAATACGCACTCTTTGGATAGCTTCCGCATTGTTACGGTCGTCTCCGTTGGTCATGTATCCTTGCCACGGTCGGGCCGCCCATGTGCATGGTTTCGTATCAGCATCGATAGGCACTTTGCTACCGTCTGGACAGAAGTATCGGAAATTGGCCGGATTTTCGGATGTCGGCACTGCCGGGGTGACGCCGACTGGCAGACCGAAGAAACGCTTCACGTAGATGACCTTCGTCCAGGCGACATCACCGCCGTTATGTGCCAAACAGCGCAATGCGCCTTCGTATCCGGAATATATGTCTGGGTAATCGCACACGTCTGGTTTTTCGCAGAGAGCGCACATGTTGCTGTATGTCTCCTCTGAAAAATAAAAAGAATATTGAATATCTGTGCAAATTCTTTGTACAATCAAAATTGATTTCGGCTTACAATATTTAAAATTCTATATAAATATCAAAATTTACGAACAATAAAATAAATAGACTCAAATATTATAACACCTGCTGTTAATTTAATTCTTTTAAACATGCAACATGATTCTGCTTTCTATTTAATGCGCGCAATTTGTTCATTTGTATTGCAGTTTGCTTAACTAGAGTGTTTTAATTTACGCGTGTGATCGTAATTTATCCTACAAACAGAAAACATTTAAAATTAAACTGTATCAAAAACAGAGTATCAACTTATGCACAGATTGTTTTGCAGCTAAAGATGTTTTTGCCAGCAATTTATCTATATCACGTAATTGACGCAAGTTTTGATGATTGCTACCACTTACTGAGTCTTTGATTAATGTCGGGATCGGGTGACCACCTGCCAACCAGGCAGCCTTTGTCGAACAGCGTGCTTAAAGCGCGAAGCTCATTCTCGCGAGCGGAATATTCCGGATTGTTGATATCAGTAAGCACTCCCATCGCGGTGAGCTTTGTGATAGGAATTTTGTAACCGACATTACGACCCACACCGGTGTGACAGGACTTAAGACCTCTCAGGCCTTGAACGTTGTTAATGTCCAGGTCCTTGTGTATCACGGCTACTGCTTCATAACGATAAATCGCCTCGGGTTCCTCCTTCGTCCTCACCTGAACAAATAAAAAAAAATAGTTTACATTATGCATACTAATAGAAAAATAAAAAAAAATTGCATCATGCACGCTGCACGCAGAGAAGTAAAATAATTGCGAATGCTCTGTTCTTAAAAGATTATAAAACATTTAAATGTTTCTTGAGAAGTCTCGAAATAAATGAACAGCAGTTATTTTAAACGATTTTTTGAAATCAATTTTATCAATCATCTTTATAAATTCTATCCTACATGTTTCTATTTTTTATTATAATATAAAATTTATTTTTTAGCTTCGGTAGATGTGAGACTAAGAATTTAATTTTTACTTGAAATTTGATTTCTGCTACATTACCTGTTCAATGACATTGTATCCGGCCGTTTCAGCAAGCTTATTCTTCGCTGCGAGATACATGTCTTCCGGATCCACGGCAACGATGTCCGCTTCCTTCCGGCCGACTCTTTCGATACAGTCGTATCGATCACGTCCGGAAATGCACGATATAGGGAAGCCTTTGCTGGCGGAGTCCTCAATCATCTTTGCGCATTCTTTTGAGTATATCTCCGGGATACACATCGTGACTGCACACATAACAAACATATTTTATAATATGTCATGTTAATGATTCAAGACTTGTATTTATTTTATTAAACAATACACTTTTGGATGCATCTGTGCTTCAAACTTCGAGACTAAATTCGAAACGATTTTGCTTATTAACCAAAGAAGTATTGAAAATAATTGTATCTTTATATTTTACAGGGGTGGTTTTACTATTTTTGTCTAACAATTGGAAAATTACGAATATATTCAGAAGAGATAGCAGCTTTTAAATTTTTACTCGATTCTCAATAACTTATTCCAGTTTCTCCACCATGTTTTTAGAAATTAACTATCAATTTCGACGGGGTACTACTTACACACTCGTGGCGGGCTTGTGGCGGACACAGCCGCCACCGCGAAAACCGCGAACACCGTGAATTTGTGCAGCATCTTGACTATGGCACTACGCGGGTTACAGTACCGCGCGATTTTCTCCCAAAAAAAAATCGAGTGAAAAGTACGGAGAAGCGCAGCAGAGTCAGATGAAAATCCAGACAAATAGTCGGCGACAACTTGTCAAGTGCGGAGTAGCAAACAACGATCGTCTTTATATGGATGCGTCTTTTTCTTCCTCGGATTTCAACTTGGAGAGGGGAGTTTACGCTCTTTACACTCCGTCTCCCTTCTTCTCTTACTTAATGATTCCTAACGTCGCTCTTTCTCCATTCGCTTTGCGTAATGACTCCATAGTCATCATTATCTATTCGATTTCGCGGTTCTTTTGCTATGATGGCATTTTCCACTTTTGTCGTGTCTTGAGCTCTGAGAAAAAATATGTTTTTTTTGTGTTTCAAAACATCTCAAGTTATAAAAATTATTATCAAAACGCTGATGGAAATCCCAAGAACAAAATGGGTCTCCTTTAAAGTTTAAAAGTTTAAAATTCACATCGGTTCAGATTATGTTGTTGACATACGGAAATTATCTTTATGTCTAAACGTAACGATAATGCAATAAAAACATATTCGATATAAAATTTATTTTAATAACAATTAACACTGAAAGGAAATACATACATAACAAAGTTAATTTTAATTAAAATTTCTTTAATAATATCTTAATTTCAAATTCAGATATCAACAAATCTAATATCCAATTTCAAGTGTCAGAAAGGCGTATAATTAATTTACGGTAAAAAAATTGTTTCAATTTTCTACAAAAAATGCTGCTATCAAGTATTCCTCTTACAATATCGAAGAGCTAGATATCATTAAATCGGATTTCGGTTTAATGATACTTGTGGTCTTTGCAAGCGCGGTCATTAACACTCCCGGTAACTTTCCAGGATGGGTTCGTTCATCGCTGATGGGATCATGGTGGAAAATCCTTGAAGGAATTTTTCTTCACTGAACCAGTCCTTATCCACCTCTTCCAGCGCGTTTCAAGTCTCATGTTCTCTGCTTTGTTTGGCGAATTCTTGCGTCCTTGGTTCCGGTTGCTCTTCAAATGCGACGCACGTATGCAGACACGTACGATACGCACATACGCATACATATTATTATCCGTGTAATGTGCAGCGACGAAGTTGGAGCTGTGTGGACCTTTATTGGCACCAGGAAAGTATCGGTGGTAATTCCCGTGCTAAGGTCACGCGACGGTGATTCCACAGCTCTCTCTCTTTTCCTCTTGAACACAGATCACAAGCTGAATAAATAAGTCATATAACGCGTGCATACTCATATATGTTGTTACAAAACAGCGGTTGATAAGTTGTATATAATCTCGGGGCTCGATATAAATAATGTCAGAAATACTCGATGACGTATTGACGCGATATATACAGTTGCTATGCGCTTATAAAAATTAATTTTTTAAAGACATCACATTACATCAGGATAAGTTAATTCATTGTCCGCTAGGTAATACATTACTCATTGCATTTTGTAATGAATTGATTACTTTATTGGAATAATAATCAATAATAAAAATATAAGGAAAAATTTACACAATTATCAATACTCTTACAATTAGATAAAGCTATGCTCAAAAAATCTTAATTAAGCTAATTTTGAAAATTATATTTTTTGAAATTTTGATCTTTAGAATTATAAAATTCTAGAATTTTAGTAATATTGCAAAGATTTTTTTGTGAGTATACAATTTGTAAATTTTTATTGATAAACTCTACTTTCTTTAATAAGTTTAATAATTACAATTTAAATAATATTATTTCTCTGTATTTTTTATTTATATAACGTATAATTTTTGTATTTCTACAGTAATGCTCCGCGAAGAAACATTTTTTAGTGAAATAATTCAGTTTAATCGAATATAATGTTTATAACATGCTTATCTATACTTATCAATTGCATTGTCAATGTTTACCTATAAAAAAATTAAAATATTAATGTGGAAATTTTTTAAGGAACTAATATTTTATTGATTAATCATTATTCAACGAGCAAAATCGATAACGTAAAAACACAAACTGTGCTTGATTAATGTCCTCAAATACTATCACGATGCGCTTACCTGGTAGGTTTTTGGTACGTGCCGAGATAACAAACTATTATGACGGGCAATGAACCGTTGATAGGAAACACTATAAATCGTTACAAACAATAAAGGATTCTCATAATACCTAATAAAGAAGTGGAAATTCCAATGCTGTAATATCGTTATCGTAATTTATCTCGTGAATAGAGATCACGAGTACTAAATACGATAGTCAGCAAAAAATGCCAATTATAATCTATTTTGATGACCATGCTAACAACATATGTTATCAGAATTATTTATATCACAAACATTTTTAAAAAATTGATAGTGTTGACTACGAGTAAACACGATAAGGTACAAATATCGAGTATTTTTTTATACAATAAATGAGTATAATTATTTATTTCAGAATTTTTATTTAAAATTTTGACAAAATCTTCTCAAATAAACATATTATATTATTATTTCAATGTGGAAAAATTATATTCTATTAAATATATCACTCCTAATTATTTAGAAAAATGAATATCTTTTTGCGGCGCGCTTTCAAATAAAAGAAAGAATCATATCTTTAAACATACTGCATGTGGTTTTATCTTTGAGTTATTAAGACATGTTGATCGTGTATGTGTGTTTTCATATAGTGAAAAATAATGGAAATTTACATAATGATGTAGTAATATCACTTTCCTCATTCTCTTCTTAAAATAAGTATGTAATTTTCCTTTATTGATAATTTACGAGATTGAGATCGAAAAAAATAAATATTTATGAAAAATGTAACATGGTAATATAATATCATGTACACACGAATCTGCAATTCTGTAACTAATTAAAGAGCATCCGATGTATTTGATGCACGTATTCGATGTATTTGTTTTTGTACGTATAATGCATAAGTAGCACAAATTTATTATCAATATTTATTATCAATAAAAAAAAGACAGTTCTCTAACAAATTTATAAATTTATAAAACAAGTTAATAAATATCCAATATTGCTGCGATTTATGTTATGGACAGTTTTTCCTCGATACATGAATCATGCGGTTTTAAGTTGCAAGGTCGGATACGTTCGTAATTTCAAGACTTCCAGTCGAGCATGCAAGATCAACAATTGCTCATAATTGTTCTCCAGTTTCATAATCAGTTTGGTTCGTCTCGCGATCGCCGCGAGTCTCATCTTTCGGGCCTCTTTGTCCTTTTTACGACGAGGATCATCGAATAATCTACGACGCTCCTCGACTTCCGATGACTTCCTTTTGATTTCCTTTGTCAATTTGTCGTTCTTTTTCTTCCATTTTGCTATTTGCCGCTTCGTTTCATTCAGACGCGCTTGTTCCACTTTCAACAGCTCTCGACATTTCTGAAACACGTTTAAAGTTTAAATATTAAGTTATCTGCGTAAACAATTTCTTTCTTAAAAAAGGCATGTTATTTAGATTCATTTTTATGCCTTAGAATATATATCTCTTTCTTATATTATAACATTTGGTAAACCTAGAATTTTAGAAATGGTCTAGAATTTTAAAATGTACATTTTATTATTTATTATTAGACACTGGAATTTTATATTGTAAAAATTATTGGGCATAACAATTTAGAATTTACATTTAATATCTTCTTCATTATAATGCATTGCAATATTTTAAAGAAAGAAATAGTCTAGAATGTTAATCAACTGATATTATAAAAAGTTGATTACTATAAAGAAATGTTTTAAGTTTCTCCATAAATTTACTAATTAATTAATTTCTATTATTACCCAAATATTTGCCGATAATTGAATAGATATAATTATTAATGTAAGGATCATTGAATTAAATGTAATAAAATGTAAATTTTTAATTTTATTTTGCTTAGTTACTTTTTTATATTATATTTAATATTTTTAAGGCTTAATAAACAATTGATGCTTACGTTTTGAAATATTTGTAAATTGGTATGCATTTTCTCGTAATCCTGTTCCATATTTGTACTGCAAGGATAACGCCTCAAAAATTCGAGCACGTTTCTCGTAATCTGAAACATGCAAAAACGATGATTATTTTGTAAAATTCAATGGCTGTAATATAAAACAATCTTGTTAATAACAATATAACAATATTATCAAATTGTATAATTGAGAAAACCACACTTCCTTGCGAATCTTCACGAAACTCTACCTTGAACTCTCGAACATCCTTTAGCTCCTGCTGCAAATCGTCCAATATCATCTTCGCGCAAGTATGTCTCCATTCATGCTGCGCCACGACTTTCCGCAAATGTATGGATTTATGTATTGCCGCTAACTTGCGTTTTCCAGCTTCGACGATACAGTTGTTGATGCGCAAAAGTTCCTCGTGCGGCACAAGAACGGTGTTCTCGTAATCGGAGAAGCAACCTCGCAGCGGAACCTCAATCTGACCCATCTTCAAGACGAGTTGAACTTTCATCTCCTCCGCAAGTTGCGCCAAGGATTTCTCCATGTTATCCAAACTGATCTTTTTGCACGCCACGACGTTATCAGCCGATTGCATCGCTTTCTGGTAAAACGACAGCGTTTGCTCCGCTTCGGCCATCTCCACCGCGCAGCATTTCACCTTCAACATATTACCCACCTTTTTAGCAAAGAAGTAGTTAAAAATAAGTCGATTTTAGTCCATAGTATGGAACCAAAACTACAAATGGTTTCTTATAAATTTTGTACCGTAGAATCACGTAGTAAAGTCCGTTTTCCTCTAGATAGCAGGAAAAGTACGGAAAAATTGAAAAAAAGATGAAAAATGCAATTTCCTGTATAAAAACACATGTACTTATGGATGTACTTGAGTGAACACAAGTGTTTTGTAGTTTTGGTTCCACACCATGGGCCAAAATCGACCTATTTTTAATATCCTCCTTATAATATCTAATTATCAATATGGCAGAGTTGTCAGAGCAATCATTGACGTCGTACGGTCAGAGAATAGCCACCCAATGATCTCCTTGCTCAGTATAAACTTCAAGCAATTCTTCTATCTCTTCCAGAGACACCCCTCTCCTCCAAGACAAATTATAATATCTAATTGTTTATATAGCAGCCCTCTCACAGCGATCATTCACATCGTACGGTCAGAGAATAGCCGCCCAATGATCTCCTTGCTCAGTATAAACTTCAACAATTCTGATATCTCTTCTAGAGACTTTGGTTTCTACTCAGCAATTAGATCATTGAGCGGCTATTCTCTGACTGTACGACGTCAATGATCGCTGTGAGAAGGCTGCAATATAAACAATTAGATATTATAATTTGTTTTGGAGGAGAGGGGTCTCTCTGGAATAGATATAAGAATTGCTTAGAGTTTATACAGAAGAAGGAGATTATTGGGTGGCTATTCTCTGACTGTACGACGTCAATGATCGCTGTGAGAGGGCTGCTATATAAACAATTACATATTATAATTTGTTTTGGAGGAGAGGGGTCTCTCTGGAATAGATATAAGAATTGCTTGGAGTTTATACAGAAGAAGGAGATTATTGGGCGGCTATTCTCTGACTGTATGACGTCAATGATTGCTCTGACAGCGCTGCCATATTGATAATTAGATATTATAAGGAGGATGTTAAAAATAGGTTGATTTTGGCCCATGGTGTGGAACCAAAACTACAACACACTTGTGTTCACTCAAGTACATCCATAAGTACATGTATTTTTATACGGAAAATTCAATTTTTTATAGTTTTTTTTTCTATTTTTCCGTACTCTCCCCGCTGTCTAGAGGAAAACGGACTTT